CCGTCTCTGTAAGAAGATAATATCATCTTCCAAAATATCATCCTCGAACTTAAAGAGACATTTACAAGTAATTCTTTAAAAAAATTTTTATTTGATAATCTTAATGTCCACATGTTTAAATTTAATTTATTACATTCCTGAGTTGAGCAGGTCCTACAGAAATAGAATCTAGATACAGATTCTTTATAAAAAAAATGAATTATTAGATACAGTATAATTAATAAAATATTTGATGAAGAGTTAATCTTGGTTTTGTTATTTATATATAATAATTAGGCATTTATTTTTTAATATTACTATTATATTAGTTTAATTTTCAAAAGAAGAGTATTTATAATAAATGGAAGTGTAATAACTAATAATTGAGCCTTTATAATGTATTTTGACTTTCTTTAATATAATTAAAACATCCAGTTCAATGTTATTTGTATAGAACTTAGCAATGTTTCACCAAAAGAAAAATAAATATCTATTCTATTATTTCTTTATTATAATATGTTAAATCTAATCAATTAGTTTTATAGTTTCAGTTTGAACTTGATTATATAATCCTCTTGACAACATTTTTAGGGCTTTTTTTAATAATATATTTTGAATTGAAAGTATTTTTTGTATCATTTGACTCAATCCATAAGTTCTTAAATGCCAAAAAGCCTCATTATATTCATAATAGGAAAATACTTTATCAAAATCTTTGGCCCATATCATCTTGGGCAATTTTTAATAATGATAGACAATATTGTAAACTTAAATTTTTAAGATAACCTACCCCCTTTTAACCACTAATAAAACATACTTTAATATGTTTAACAAAATTTGTTACCCTTAATCCATAGTTCTTAAATGCCAAAAAGGCTAATTATATTCATATATAGGAAAATATTTTATCAAAATCTTTAGCCCATATCATCTTGGGCAACTTTTAATAATGATAGACAAAGACAATATTGTAAACTTAAAATAACCTATATGAACCTTTTTTAACCATATATAAATTAAAGAATATACTTTAATATGTTTAACAAAATTTGTGTTGAACCCATATATCATTTTTTTGTTTATATAGGTTTTACATTCAGCCTGTGCATTGTTTTTTTTAACTTTAAATTTCCATATAAAATTTTAAAAATGAAATTTGATTCAGGAGAAGTTATTTTCATTCAACTTTGATACATACTATTTTTTTCTTTTATAAAGAAAATGCATAGTGAATTTAAAAATGAGATTATCAAACACCTTAACGAATTCTCTACACAAAAAAATATATCACTGCAAACCCAAAGTGGTTCTGGTTGCAAATCCAGACAATCTAAATTAAATTTTAACAATCTAAACATTCCAGCTGTATCGCCAAAAACAGCAGACAAGGTTATCATGGATTTTATTATTGACACCTTTCAACCACTGTCTCTGGTTGATGATCCTTCATTTGAAAAAATGATTAAAACTTTTTCGCCTGCGACAAAAATTATTTGTCGCCAAACACTGGGCAACAGGATATCTACTTCCTTCTCTTATATGACGACAAATCTTATAAGAGATTTGTCTGAAGTTTCTTATGTATGCACCACTGCTGATTGTTGGAGTGGTCATCGAAGGTATATTATATTTATATGAATTTTATAATGTTTATTTTATTAGGGCTTTTATTGGACTTACTGCACATTGGCTGGATCCGTTAACCCTCGAGAGAAGGTCAGCCGCTTTGGCACTGAGGAGGATAATTGGGAGGCAAACATATGATGTTTTGGACAACGAAATCATGGGTATCCACAAGTTCTATAAAATTCATAATAATGTGGTGAAGATGGTGACTGACAATGGAAACAACTTTGTCAAGGCATTTAAGTAATATTTATATTTAGCAAAAAATATTTAAATAAATTAATATTTTCTAGAGTTTTTGGAGAAAATGTAGAAGATAGTAGTGAGGATATGGAATTGATAAATTTGGATGACATATTATCCGTTGATGACCCAATTATCCCTACTATCAGCCTACCAAAACATCAACGTTATTGTTGCCATAATCTTAACCTTATTGCAACAACAGATGCGGAGATGGCAGATAGTGATCTCAATTATAAACGAATATCTAGATCCACTTGTGCAAAATGTTTTGCTTTAGTTAATAAACAAAATATGTCGTCAAAAATGGCGGATATTTTATTGGAGAAATTGTGAAGATATTTAACAGCTCCCAACAAGTCAAGATGGAATTCTTATTACCAATCAATGAAATTAATAGATAAGATGCTTTCTGAAAAGTTTTCAGAAGTAGAACAAGTATGCGATCAAATTGAATTTGCAATGTTTAGGCAAGAGGAATGTTTTTTTGTTAAAGAGTATGCAACAGTAATACTATGATATTCTCTAAATAAATTTAAATTTATAGGTTATGGAACCTTTGGCGATCTCGTTAAAAATCTTGGAACGGGAGGATAATATGGAGCAGGGATATCTAACTCCCGTTCTATCGATATTGATAGATAAATTAACGAAATTTAGCTGCCTGCGGTATTGTCAGCCCCTTGTAGATAGTTTTCATAGAGGTATTGATAAAAGGTAATATTTTTTTATGCAATTATTTTATATTATCGGATATCTGCAAAATATATTAAAAAATTGCAAAGATCTGGCAAATTTAGTAAAATATTTTTAACAGGCCAGTTCTACTAAACCTCTGATATCTAGTAAAATATTAATGGGCCTTTGAAGACATCAGCGTCTACATGACAGGATTTTCACTGGATGCAAACCCCCTCAAAAATCTTTGCCTACCCCCCTAAAAAAATTTTAAAGGATTTATTTTTTAGATAATAAATTCATTGATAAATTTAATTAAATCCTCCATTATTTACAATGAATATTATTATAACTTTATGAGCTTGCTGAAATATCTAAACCTTTTAAATGTAATTTAAAAGGATAGCAGAAAGTTTCATTTGGAAAACAATATGTATAATTGTTTGCAATATATAGATTTAATCGATGTATTTCTATAATAAAAGTATTAGTTTTTACAGCAATAAATTTTGTCCTATTTCATCTCAAAATTTAATAGTTGATCCCCAAAATTTATCCTACCCCCATTAAAGCCGCCTACCCCTACCCCCTCAAAAAAATAGGATGCAAACTGTTCCTACCCCTCCCGCTCATGTAGACGCTGGAAGACATTAAAAATTTATTAGATTATTTGAATTTTAAGCTAATATTTTGATTAATATTCTTTGTAAATAAATTACAATGTTAATTTCTTTGTATATTAAGTATTAAGTTTACATTTAATCAATATTTATGATATGACCCAAATATAAATAAATACCATACAGATGATGTGCCAGACTTGACTGTAAAATTAAAAAGGGTTAAGTTTTGCAGATACTTGATTTGATTTATATGAATAAAATGAACACTTATTTAATAATAAATTAATTATCATTTCATAATATAGATTTCCTTCACTGTATGAAGACAGTAACATTTTGGCAACCATGATTCACCCTAAATTTAAACTTAATTGGCCTTATATTAATCTGCCACAAAATATAATGGTAAAAGAAAGATTAGTTGCCCATTTGGAAAATATGCAGGAACAACCATATGCGGATACCTCAAACGAATGTATGGATGACATTTTTGGGGAAAAATACTGTACAAAATGCTTGTTCCGTTAAAAAAATTTTTTATTCAAATGATGATTCCATTAATATTTTTAATACTTATATTAATTTTAAAAAAATATTTATTGAATATAATACTCCTTTGCCCTCAAGCGCTCCTGTGAAGCGCTTGTTTAGTAAAGCTAAACATGTTCTAAATGAAAGACGCGGATGTTTAAATGATGATAATTTATAAAAAAATTTATTATTAAAAGCTAATTTTAATTATAAAATTCAATTACAATAAATTACTGCCATATTTAATTTATTTTTATATTAGTTAATTTTGCATCGGTTATATTATATTATTATTCAATTACAATAAATTGATAACATATATTAGTTAATTTTGCATCGGTCAGAAATTTCCTTCAGAAATTTAAATAGAAAAAAAGGTTGATCCTGGATTTCGATCCTCTTTTTTTGAAAAGATCGTGATCGGGATTCGATCGTTTTAAAAAGATCGGTTAACAAGCCTGGCGATAAGATAAGAGCCCTTACACAGAACCTAAAGAATATTATTTTTTTAAACAAAATCTACAAATTACTATTTTAAAATATAATTATTCTTGTTTTTTGGGAACTTGTAGTCCCACCTCCATTTTTATAGAATAAGATTTTATTTTATATTTGATGTTAATTTTCATATAATTTTATTTGATAGGTTATAATAAAAAAGTATAGTATTAATAAAAAAAAAAATTTTTCAACCTCTTGCCTTAATTTACTTAAATGTTTTTAAATTTAAATGTAATAATAAAAGATATCACATATTTCAAGTCAGTAATGTAATGATTCTCAAAATTGATATGTTTTTATTCTTTTATTATTTAATAAGTATTATATAAATAAATAGTTTCTATATTTATATATTATTACACCATATTGTTTATAAAAATGGTTAAATCTTATTAAAAAATTGACACGGATGGTTTTATCAATCCGTTCTTTATTTAGCATAAGAAAACGCTTGGAGAAAAAAAAGGAAATTGGTCAAATCGAAAAGAGCCTACCAGTAAGAGGTCTATTTAAAAATAATTAAGATTGTTTTTTCTTTATTTCATGCTAAATTATACTACAAAAAAAATGTTTTAAAAAATATTGTGAACAATTTTGCTATATTAAAGGTGAAAGTATATGATATTCATGTTTACTTTATTAAACTAGCAATTCTAATATATGACTTAGGAACTACTTATTTAAACTTTAATTTTTACCATTCGCTTTTTTTAAAATTATGACCTCTATTTTAAATTTAAAACTCAACTCAAATCTTAATTTCATTTTTAGTTTACAAAATAAATTTACCGATTATCGTCAAAATTCTATAACCAATTCATAATTTATATTATTTATATCACAAAGTATATATACAATATAAAAAAATATTTAAGGGTACCAATTTCCATCATATAAACAATAATTCTAGTTTCACTGGCTGTTTTATATAATAAAAGCATGTCAATTAATTGACCAGGCAAACGAAATATAAAACAGCATTATAAAATTATTAGGTTTTAATATTAGTTTTTTTTAAATAAAGTTTTCTTTAATAATTCGTTTGAGCACTTTTCCGTATATGGGTGCGGTGGTAAAAATAATGGCCTGGAAATGGATTCTTGACTTAGCTAGTGTTGATTTTCCATAAGATTTGTGGTGATATTCAATAACCTATTAAAAAATTATGATTTTGATCATGTTTATCATAATTATTAATTAATTAATATTCCGCCCTCCCTTTCTGCTTATATATTCTATATTCCTTCTAATTGAATGATGACCCTATAACTTAGCTTCGAGTCGGCAGAGCCTACCTATCAGCCGGAACCGTAAGCCGGCATTAACATAAAATATAAGCCTGGCACAGTCCGTGGCCCGAAAAATATTAATGTTAGATTTCTTTCCTATTCATCATATTTTATCCGAATGAATATAAATTTTTAAAAAATACTGATTTATTCAAAGATAAAAAACAACCACCACCCCCCCCCCCCAGTGGCTACGGGCCTGATTGAGATCCTAGATTCGATGTAAATAAAAAAATGAGCGAGTTATAAAATGATTGGAATAATGAAAAATTTTCAACAAAAAAAATATTTGTAAATTATATTTTTCCATAAGGAATTTTATAATAAAAAAACAAAAAAATTTTTCTCGTCCCTAATTACTAAAGAAAAAAAAAGAGGTGGCAGCTCCTGGAGCGCCGCTACATTTTTTCAAAAACACCTGGAGCGCCCCGCGGGAGCTAGCTCCTTTTAGGGCTGGAGTAGAGGAGCGCCGCTCCACCGCTTCTTTAAATTTAAGGTATAAATTAAATTATTTTTTAATTATTAATAATATTTGTTAATTAAAATTCAATAAAAAAGAAATTTTATTTAATTTAAATTTATCCATTATTAAATGTTTACCGAGTTTTATATTGGTTTTTCATCTAATCATTTTAATATTAAACATCAAGTTTTCCTTTTTATATTGAAAATTTTTGGAAAATCTTTAAGTCATATTAATATTCATTTTATTGATATATAATAAAAAATAGTTTTAGATATTATGGATTTTGAGATCATAGATGAAGATTTCATTTCCATCATACAAAAAATATTTTAAACTTCTAAAAGATGTTGATCCAAATGATCAAACAAATTTAAGAGCAAAATGTCTTTTGTGTTTAAATAAAACTATTTCATTTTCAAGAGCAGCTTCAATCTAAAAAAGCATCTAAAAGTAAAAAATCTTTCTTTTAAATACAAATTAATTTGGAAGGTTTTTTTGGATTTCATGAAATTGATCACCAGGAAGATAATATATTGGACAAATATTTTTTAAATAATGATACCAAAATTACTATTTTTGATAAATTCCCTGAAAAATATCTTTATAAAATACAATACCCTGCTTCCCTCTTCTAGTGCTCCTGTGGAGTGCCTATTTAGTATTGCAAAACAGGTCTTAGAGGAGAGGCGTGGATGTTTGTTAAATTCTAATTTAGAAAATTTATTACTTTTAAAAGCTAATAAAAGGTTATAAATATTTTGATATACCATTTAATATAAATAAAGCTTTTTGATAAAAAAAATATGATTTTGTTTCGTATACCTTCTAAAAAAATGAAAAACAAAGGAGCGGTTATGGAGTGGCACTCCATTAATTGGAGCGGGAGCTAGCTCCTTTTAAAAATGTAGTAGCCGTTAACAACTCTGGGAGGTGGTAAATATTTACTATTCATTTTCATGTCATATTTGTAATGAATCAGTTATTTTTGAATATATTTAAAGCTGCAATGGCGAAGCTTAAGTCTATAAAAAAATGGCCACCTGGCTGCGGGCGGCCTCGGGCAAAAATTTTTAAATCATAGAATAAAGTTTTATAGAGTAAATAACTGTATTTTTTAATGTTAAGCCTTTAAGATAAAAAGAATAATAGAGTTCCATATACATAAGGCTGGGCTAGACTAATGATTAACAAATGTAATATATTAAAACTATATTACTTTAAAAAAAAAATGATTTAGATCACATGCATTATATTATTTCTTCCGGGTTAAAGGGGCTCTATCACATAAGGCTATAAATTTTTGTATTACTTGAATTGAAATATTACTTTTTTTAATTATAATTTTGTATTTGTCCTAAGGTAAAAATCAATGGTTCTAGAATTTTTAGATATTCCTCTACAAATTCTAATGTCTATTTAAAGTTTTCCTATTTCTTTTTCCCAATTTTAATCGATAATTTATTATCATAAATAATGCATCTGATAAACTACCTATCTTGTTGGATATGGAACCGCAGGTTACCGCCTTCGGCAGATTACGATCTGCCTGAGAAAATTTACCCAGTGCTGAATGATGTAGTTTTGACATGGATAGTTCTGTTGTTATAACCATGCTCACTGTGTGGCAAGCATTATAATGATATGGTAAGTCAATCTTAAAATCTTGATCAAAATTTGCTAACAAAAATGAGGATGTACATATTTTTCATAATTCCTCCTTTATAAGATTAGTTCTTGTTTTTATGAAAGTTATGATAAAAATTACTGCCATACTCTGGTAATGAATAAAATGTGTTTTCTAAGTTATATTCATCTTCATTCAAATCGGCAAGTTTCATACTGCCACAACCACTAAGCGCCATTGCGAAGTGTGTAACTTTATTGCAAAAATATAATATTCATATTTCCATCTTTTCAGCTATCTTTTTATAAATATATGTTTATATAGCCAATACTCCTCTTTAGAGTGAAATAATGATTTCCTACCAACTATATCCAAATCCCTTTTTCTATTGGATTCAACCAATAGTAAGGATTCCATCATATATTTAAATGTTTAATATAAAATAAAAAAATTTAATACTTAAAATTGAATAAAAATTAAATTTAAAAAATTGCTGTATAGAACCATAAATAGAAATGCAATTACTTTGATTTTATAATTCAGTTGTTTGTTTTTTTTTAATTTATATATATGCGCTATATTTTTATAACCGTTAATTGTTTTTTATATGACTTCGTTTTTTAATAATAAACTCAAAATATTTTTTAAAAAATTTTTATTCAGATTTTTGTAAAAATAAAAAAGTATTTAGCATGTAATATATTAATGACTCAAGATTACTTATAATTTTTATTCGGATTACAAGTGTTATATTAATAATAATTTATAAAGTTATATTTTTTAATTTAAAAAAACGTTACTACCCATCCCTGATACATCTTACTTTTTTCATTAAAAATGGGTGAATTCGCACACGTTCATCAACTCTTCTCTAATGAAAATATAATCTGCTTATATGCAAGCAAGTGTATATATGTATTTATCAACATATTTATTTTAATTGAGAGATAAAGTTAGTAAATGGAAGATGACTATGGAAGCAAAGGGCCTGAAAATGAATGCATCAAAAACAAAGGTGATGATTGGTGGGGAAAATCTAAAGATAGAAGAATCAGGTAAGTGGCCTTGTGGTGTATGTGGGAAAGGAGTTGCTAGGAATTCTATCCAATGCACCAGATGCCAGAAATGGGTACATAAAAGATATAGCGGGAAAAAAGGCAGTTTGATGTTAGAAAGAATGACCTTTATTTGTAAAACATGCATGAAAGGGATGCATAATAATGATAACCTAAAAAATGGTGGTCTGGATATTGGCAATGGGTTAACCCTAGAAAAAGTGGATAAGTTTTGTTATTTAGGTGATATGCTAAACGCAGATGGTGGTGTAGATTCTGCTATTGTTGCAAGGATCAGACAAGCTTGGAAGAAGTTCAGAGAGATGTCGTCTATTCTTACAAATAAAAAAGTTTCTCTGAAGTTAAAGGGGAAAGTTTACGTAAGCTGTGTGAGGAGTTGTTTAGTTTATGGCGGTGAAACATGGGCAATGAAAGCAATTCACGAAGCCAAATTAGAAAGAACAGAGATGAGGATGGTTAGATGGATGTGTGGGGTATCTCTGAGAGAGAGAAAAACTAGCAAGGAATTGCGAGCAAGATTAGGTATAGAAATGATTGGTATGGTAATGTGACGAAATAGACTAAGATGGTTTGGGCATGTGGAACGTATGACAAGAGATGACTGGGTAAAGAGATGCACAATGATGGAAGTAGAAGGATCAAGACCTAGAGGAAGACCCAAGATGACGTGGACAAATGTGATAGCGGCGGATATGAGAGGCTTGAATCTTACAAGTATTGATGCTCAGGACCGTCAAAAATGGAAAAAAAAATCAGAGGGAAAACTGGCCTACCCTAAAACCTGGAAATCGCCATAAAACGGAGAAGAAGAAGAAGATAAAGAAACAAATCTGTGTATTTTATGGCAAAATATTTTTTGTTTCAATTTTTTCTATTTATTATAATAGTTTATTATAACTTTATATTATAATTATTTTTAATATAAAAATTGGTACCCATTGCACCTATTTTTTTTTAATAGGTCATATTTTTTAAAGCCAATGCACTGTTTTAATATCAATTTTAAATATAGCTGCAGACTTTCTCACGAGGATATAGGATTAGATTTTTTTTAAGAGAAAATTATAATAGTGAAATAAAATATCGTAATATATGATTTTCAACACAGAATATAACATCAATACGATTTACTCAAACTAAACACAATAGGTCATTATAAAATGTGAATTCAAAAGTTTACAAGAGTTAATAATCGAGTCTATTTGTGCCAATGCATATTAGGCAGAGATTTTTAATGTTTTTTTATAAATATAATTTTCAATTACTTTACACTCTGCTGTGTCGTTTATCAAAATATGCCCATTATTATAGGAACTCTTGACCCTTATCTCTGTGGAAGGGATGACATGGTTAAAATGATAATTAGGATCATTACAAGAAGCTAGCATGTCATCAGAAAACGAGAATGTTCCTCCTATCCTTTTTGTCTGGTTTATTTGTGATATTTAAAAATTAGTATATAATATTGAATTTATTTATATAGCAGCTTTTGTTGGACTGGGCTTGGAAAATATTTTTATAAATTATATTGGGTTGGGCTTGGGGAAAATTATGAGCTTGAACGTTTGATAATTTTTTTATTATTAACTATGGGTCAGACATTGGCCTAAAACAAGTTATTTTGTAGGCCTGGGCTCGGCCTGATCAAAAAACCATGGCCCATGAAAATCTGATTTTTATTGTATTTTTAAATTCATTATGAATATTTAAATATTTTATTTCAGTTCTCAGCTACCAAAATTATTATGATCTTTCATTCAGCTTGGATGAATTTTTCAAAATTATTATGACTTTGTACTTTACCTGGGAATTTTTTTTAATATTAAATATTATGTATAAATGATCAGTAAATTTAACATATTGGTATTATCAAGTAAAAGCTTTAAATTTATTCTTACTCAAACCATAGTATTTAGTCTTAGTTTTAATGGATCGAACCTGGCCTGAAGGGGGGAGGGGGTAAAAAGAATAAAATTGGATATAATTTTCAAATAACAGGTAACATCTAGCATAAATATAAGAAGAAAATTCTTATTCCCCGTCATTTTTGACGGGCTATCTACTAGTAATTATATAAAAATCAAATATATTGAAATAAAGAAATGAAAAGTGTGTCATAAATGGGATATCTATGAGTACACAGAATATGAAAATTAAAACTATGCAAAAAAGAAAATATATTAAAAAAATGATAATAAAATAAATTTTTATTGAACATGTAATTGAGATCACCAAGTATATTAACCCTTCAATACTCCTGTGAAAAAATGAGATAATTGCTCTAGTTGGAGTTTAATAGACCCTAATTTCAAATGTATATATCTCCATTTGTATTCATTATTTTGGTTTAATATTTGGATATAATAAAACTTCGTTAAACTTGATAAAATATTTATTTATTTTAATTTATTATACTTAGATTAAAGATGATGTAAATAATTATAATTTGTACTTAAATTTTCTAAAAAATATGCTAACTTATTTTTAATTTTAAATATTAAATTGAAAAAATAATTTATCTATCATATCATCATTATAATTCATTATTTTGATATTCATTCTTCAATTTTTATATGGCTATGTAGCAACATTTCAATATAAAACAAGATTTACACTAATACTACTTCAAACATAAAAAATATAGGACATTGAAATATCATAATTTTGACATGTAAACCATTTATCACATAAAATATTAATTTAGGTAAAAATAAATAATTTATAACTTGCTCCTAAACATAATTCTTATTTCAAGGACACATACTAAACCTTCCTCTTGAGTTGATAAGATTTCTATTTCTTTGCCTAATATATTGCAGATTCTTTCAAAAGTCAGGGCGTTCTGAGAATTTTTGTTTACTTCTAAATATGGCTTAATAAGTTCCATTCATATTTTTTAAATTATATTAATTCTTATATTGGATATTTGTGCTTGCTATATTATGTAAATTAATTGATATGTTTAGAAGTGTGTAAAAAATTGTTAGGGCCCATCGATTTGACCTTCTTAAAATTGAATAATTTTTTGACATTCAATCAACCATATCTAGCCTACCTTCAGCCATATTATAAAATGTTATAATTTCAGGTTTGCTTGGGTCATTTGTAACAACATTTTTATTATGGTGGAAAGTTTATAGTGTCATGACATCCTTTTCTTAATTTGGATATGATAATAATGTTATTTTTCATATTCAACTCAAATATATGAAAAATGATATTACATTATAATTTTATTAAATTTACTTTCAGAATCTGAAAAATCATAAGATAAATAAATTTGGAAAATGAATTACATATTTACTCTGGTGGGGTCTCACAAACCCCAATCAGTCATAAAATGCTTAACTTTTAAAACTACTCAATCAAAATATGTGAAATTTGGAAAGATTATAAGATATATTTGATGAAGTTACTGATGATTCCAGATCATAATAATTAATCATATTCATGTAATATAAATTATAGCAAGCCTGGGGTCTCATGTACCCCACAGAAGTATTGAAGGGTTAATTGCAACTATATTAATACAATAAAAATTAATTCCAGATTTAATAGTTAACAAATTATGAATAATAAGGGTTCACTAATCTAAAAAAGTTAACTCTCATCCCCAAAATATTATTCTTATTGACATTATCCTTCATATCAACTGAGATAAATCTGATTAATATCATTATTATCTATAATATAAAAACCATTAGGTTCATTTGTTTATGATGAAGTTCAATATATTCTGACCAATATCCTGAAGTTTGTAGATTTCTACATAAATTTGTAATCTGCATTTTATGCTAAATATTTATAAAAAAATTTATTAATAAATATAAATATTTCTCACATAATCTCTTAGTGATTTGTTCTTTTTAATTTTTGAGATTTTTTTGTGTTTTAGGTTTTCATTTTTCTTAGACTTAACTAATGTTTCTTCCAAGGATAAAACAATAGCAGTTAATGGTGAATTATAAAAGTTTTGTCCAAAACAAAGATGAGGAAATAAAAAATTCAAGTCTAAAATGTAATTTATTATCATAAAAATGTTATTAATTTGTTACCATATTTTATTAATTCTGGACAGTTATAAATTTTACACTGAATATATATGTTATCATTAGAGGCAAACTGTTTTGTGATATATTGTTTCTCATACTATGTTTAAAATATAGATTAATAAATAAATATTATTAATACATAATTCAGGTAAGTTTCTGCTAAGAAGATAGTTAATACTTGATGATCAAATGGCAATTTAATATTATATATATTTTCCATTGCAGTCATAATTTTATATGTGATAGCAGGTTTTGACACATTATTATTTAAATCATTAGGTGTTAAATTAGTTTCATTTCTAATAATCATATCTAAATCATTTTTTATGTCAATTTTTTTTCCTTTTTTCAATTTTTTAGCATTGTCAATACTCTCCTTAAGTCCTATTAAACCGGGTAATGGAAATCTAGGATCTTTAAATCCAACATGCCCTAAACTAAAATCTGGCCATAAAAAAGGAATATGAACTAAATAAAAAAATTAAATGTGTGATGTAATACTAGATTACTTTTATAATTCGAGTATGATCTGAATGCAGTATACTGAAAATTTTGATTTTTTGCTAAAATGGTTCTTTTTATATTTAAACCTTTTTGTTTGTAAAATATATATCTATTGAAGTCATTGTAAGCATTATTAAATGCACTCAATTTCGTAATATTCCTTAATTCTTTTATATTGAATTCATTCAATACATTAATCAAAGTCCACATAAAATATTTTCAGGTGATTTACCAAATCTCAAGGATGCATTTCAGAGAAATCTTTATCAGCTGTTTTGCCGATTATACTACAATTATTTTTGTATTAAATAGAAAACTCATTTTATTTTCATTTTCAACCAATATTAATATTTTAGTAATAAATATATTAATTTTTTTAAAGCCAGCAATCAAATTTTATACTAACCAGTGATGGTGAGTAGACCGATTTTATTGTTTTTACCATAGTTTGGATAAAACTGTGGGGTTTCACCTATACAATATTATATTTCGGTTCAATCTTTGCAACAGGTCTTTAATTTGGTTTGGTTTTGACCGAAAAACATGAATCTATTTTTTATTATAGATTGTATTATGTTTTTATCATTATTATATTACATTCGTATTTCAATTAATTATATGAATAGTTTTTTAAAAAAAATCTAATTTTAATGAATTTAAACTCTTATTCTAATATAAATATATCTATTGCTAAAGAGGCTTCATTTTCTCTTCTTTTATTTTGTTATTATAAGTGAAAATAAATGTTTTAGAAACTTAATTCATATAAATATTTTAAATAAACTTTAAAACCAGACTCAATCCAGATCTCGTTCAATCTGGGTTTTGCACTGTTAATTCCGATTTGATTGTCCATAATAGTTCAAAGTTATATAAATGGGTTTAATTAAATTAATTCTAGACTGAGATATGACCTCTACTAGTCCTAGTGACTAGGCGTAGCCAGGGGGGGAGAACAAGGAGAAATTCCCTCCCCCCCTTCAAAATTTATCACTTTTTGTAAATATCATTTTTAGCTAAAAAAAATATCCCCCTTAGTCCTCTCCCCACTCCCTGACACTCAAATATGTATGCATATATCTTAAATAATAATTTAAAAGAAAGAATGTAAAGTTGATATTTTTTTATAAAACTATTCATCATAATTTATAGATTTTTGGGAAAATAAATTTATAAATATATAAAATGAACCAAAAATGTTTTTTAATAATTGGAATATAAGCCAAAGATAAGTCTTAAGACAGAAGTGAAATGTATTATAATTATTAATAATAGCTCCAAAAAATTAATAAATAATATAATATATCAAATATAATTTTTTATAAAGTGAGTAATTTTAATTTATTAATCTTAATGAAAGTAAAATATAATTTTAAAACTATTGATATAATTAAATCATAAATTAAAAAAATATTAAAGTACAATACAAACAGTGGAATATTATATGTCGTAGATTTACAGTATATCTAATTATCAAATGACAATCAAGTAATTTTTACCTATATAGAGAATAATCTATTTTACAGATAACTATAAAATATTGATAAGGACATCAGAAAATATCTTTTAAAGACATTGTGGGATGAATAATATGAAAATTAAATTTAATATCTATTTTCTTAAATTAAATAGATGGCGTTAAATAATTGAATGCAAATTGTTGCATATTTAATATCAAGAGGATTGATTAATAAAATTTGTTAAATTTTTAACTGTAATATATCTCAAACTGTCAAATATGTCTGTAAAAGTGGAATTTTACCTAGTTATTATAACTAATTCTATATAATAGAGTAAAATCAACTATATGACTACTTACTTTTTATAAATAAATTACATATAATTGTTTGGAATAAATTATTACCATGCTTTTATGTTAAGGTATATACAATACAAGTAATTTATTAATTTTTATTTGATATTAACTAATAAAAATATATTTCATATAAATTAATAAAAATATATTTCATATAAACTAATAAAAATATATTTCATATTTGTTCCAGGCTTATATTAAAATTTGTAAAAATATTTATGACTATATATAGACTAAAGTAACCCGGCCGAAGGCCAAGGAAAAGCGGGCCGAAGGCCCGCCCAAAAGGGAGTCAAGGGGCGAAGCCCCCAGTAATTTTTTAATTCCCCCCCCCCCCTTATGAAAATTCTGGCTACGCCTATGTCCTAGTCAAAAACATATCAGGAATTGAAAAATAGAGAACAGCTATTCCTACATTTAATAAATTACTATCTCCTCATAGAAGGTTTAATTTCTTTAGCTTCTATTTGGATTTGGGAATTTTATAATTTTTAACTTTTTTATCAAATATATGTCAGGGATTTAGGTAAAATATTAGGCCTGGAGAGTAGATCTAGAAGAAAATTTTATTGCATTTTTTGGCGAATGCCAGGCTTGTTTTAGAGCTGGTTTGCAGTTCTTCAATACATAATATATATTTTAATCATGAAAAAATTAAATTATACTTTAACAATTGCACAATATATATGCTAGTCGAGACAATGCCAATCCAAATGCCATTTGTTTAATATTTTCATTTTATCTTATAATAGAATGCGATATTTTTTAAAAAATGCATATAAATCAAAGATTTTAATGTAGATGTTTTTTTTATTAATTTGTAACTTAAAACTAACTTTTATTAATTTTTTTATCTCTTCTACTTAAACAGTTTTAATTTTTTTATACCTTAGACTAACTTTAATTTTTTTTTTGTTATTTCTTTTATAACACAACTTAAATTTTTCGTTTCAAAATTTTTTTTGCCATAAGATTTTATTTATATTTTATTTGACTTTAAAATTCTATTGTTGTTTTTATATTTTTAACTATTATGTTTTAGATCAATTCAACTAGTGCGTTAACACGTTAGGATAATATTATAATTTAATATGATGACAGAGATTTTTGGATTATAGAACCAAATTTTCATATTAAAGGATTGAATTTTAAAATAATATCCAAATATTATATATTCGTTTATTGATTCTAAAAATCGAATTTAAAAAAATGATGATTAAGATGCGAGTTAATGAGTTTAGCAAACAATAAAACTTTATATATTCCAGCTTAACCCCAATTTCGGTAAAGGTGTATGAATTTTTATGTCTATGAGTTTTACATTTTATATTTAATACTTGAATTTTAATACACATATAATTTCCTGTCCTCCCATTTTCGTTCTCTCCCAACATCTAAGCTTCTCTGATATTTATATATTTATTCTTTCCCTTAAGAACTTTATCCCATATCTAAATCGTAAAGGTAAAAAGCATTTAGAAATCAATTTCAAGCTCATTTGATTGACTATACTAATTTATATATCAAGAAGTAGCTTTCTAGGCTCGTCTAGGTGTTTTATGTCTCAAAGGTATTGGGCCCATCTAGCTGTTTCCTAGAAAATCAATAGGGCAATGTATTTGCAATTATGGGATCGGCGGAAAGCTATTGTTCTTATATTATTTTTTCACGATGCCTTAAAATTATAAATTTTTTATTTAACATATGAGATGAAGTTGTTTGGTTTATATTTCCTCAAAATATTTTAAACACGAATTAGCTAAAAATGATCCCCAAACCATTTACAGTGATGAAACATTTTTTCAATTTTACTAAATTAATTTTCGTTATTCTTAATTCAAATTATTTGTAAAGTCGTAAAAATTAAAAGTAATATGTAGATTTATATGCAATATATTATGTTAAATATGTTTATAATAATTTTTGTTAAATTTTTTGAATTATTATTGCAAATAGTCTTTAATTGTTAAGTAATATTAAAATAAGTTCTGAATACAAAAAAGTTATGATACTTATATGAGATAGTGTAATTAAACTGCTCAATTTGAACCTTTTTTAAAAATGGCTAACTCAATATTTTATCCAGAAAGTTATTATGCAACCCTAAAGATTTTGCTCATAGATGGCACATATGATTGAATCTAGCGAAATTTCGACGCTAAGGCAATATTTTCCTGGCTATAATGTTGAGATAAAAATCGGCTCAAATCGTGCCATTTAACAACACTAATGTAAGGGATGTAGCAGATGTAAAATTTAATGTCTGTAGAAGGTGTGATAATTTTTCTAACATTAAAACTTCAAAATTTTTGGCTAGTTTGTGTTGATTTTTTTTACTCAACGAGCATAGGAATAACATCGAATAGTTAACTTCAATATAAAAGCGATTTGCTCTTTTAGGAGGAATAATGATATATTTATACATAAACCGATGTCAGAAACTGTTTTATTTTATATTTTAGTTTAGCAAAGCAATAATGTATCCAAATGCATATTAACTGAGTTAAGATTTTAATTTGCATTCATATTGGTTATTTCTATTTTACTCTATGTGATTGATAATAATATAATCTTATTATTTTTATATTTTAATTAGAATAACCCCACATTATATTATTACCTCAAATAAACTAAGAAATAAAATTATTTAAGATTCTAAATACGGTGCTATTTGAAAAGTTGCATGATGAACCTGGAGTACAACAGCATATTCCAATGCTTACCTACCACATTTGTTTAACACAAACTTGTATAATAAATATCATTATGCCTTAATCATCTAAAAAGTTCCAAATCCACTTGTCACGAATCATTATAAAATCTAGGCAGAATTTTCGAAAACCATATCTAATAAAGTAGCTACGGGCATACTATCATCACTTTGATTTATGATTCCTCAAAATTTTTATTTATAAATAAAACTTTATAAAGTTCAAAAGATCAACGCTAAATTTTAAAATATGTTTGAGATATAACAGTTTTAAAATAAGAGTAATCTTATATTCCACCTAAGTACTTGTGTTATTTATATTTTCCTAACCTCCCTACATTGATATCTTAAGCCTCAAAAATATTATTATTATTAACAATAAATAATATTATAATTACGTATTATTTCAGCCCTAGACTGTCAGTAAAGTTGAAGCACGTCAACATGTTAATTCCAACCCCCCCCCCCCCTCACTTTAACAAATACAAAAAACCAATTACATATCAGTACTGAAAATATTTTCTACTGTAATCATTACCGCTGCGAATATCGATTATCGCAGGAAAATATTATGATTAAATTATCTCAAATGCATTACAACAGAAACATCACTGCAAAATAATTCAAAAAATTACCTGCAAAAATTACCCATCATCATTTTCATTTATATATTAATGTAATATTTATAATCTATCACTAGTCATTCATCT